ACTATAGGTTATATATATATAGTTTATATATACTATACATAGTTTATACATACATGTACTATAAGTTACATATATAGTTTATGTATACATATATTATAGGTTACATATATTAACTATTGTTTATGCATACTATTTAGGGTTTAGGGTTTTTATAAACTATATACTTTATTACTTTATATAGTTTATGCATAGTGTTTCTATAAACTATATATATATATATATATATATATATATATATATATATATATATATATATATATATATATATATATATATATTTATATATACTATATATATAGTTATATACACACATATATACTATATTAATATAAATTATAATTTATAAACTATATATTTTATATAGTTTATACATATATAGTTTATATACATACATATATACTATATTAATATAAATTATATTTTATAAACTATATACTTTTTATAGTTTATATAAATAGTATATAAATATATATAGTATATAAATATAAACTATAGTATGTAGTATATAAATATAAACTATAATTTATATATATAGTATATACTATATAAATAGTTTATATAGTTCACTAATAAACTATATATATAGGCCATATGTAAACTATATAGTTTACATAGTTTATACATATAGTTCATATGTAAACTATATAGAATATATAGTTTACATATAGTATAATTTAGTTTATATTGTTTATATATAGTTTAAATACTACTATCTATAAACTATATAATTTATATATAATTCCATAAATTAACCCTAAATCATAAACCCTAAACCTTAAACCATATATACTATATATATGTAAACTATATAGTTTATATTAATAAACTATATAATTTATACAATATATATTATTTATAATTATACATAATATATAAATATAAATTGTATAGTTTATATATAATTCATATATAACTTATATATAAACTATAAAATTTATATATAAACTATATAATTTATATTAATAAACTATATAGTATTATAGTTTATATATATATATATTTATACATAATATATACATAATATATAGTTTATATATTGTATATAATAATATAATAAACTATAATTTATATATATAATACATATACTTTATATATAAACTACATAGTTTATATTATATATATATATATATATATATATTATATATATATATATATATAGTTGTTTCATTTTTTTCTCAACTTTTGAAATGAATGCAATTTAGTCCATTTTGCAATCATTTCGATTTGATCCTTTTGTGTTGTTTAATTTATTTAAATTTTAATTTGTAATTTAATATTGATCAATTTAGTCCTTAAAATTATATTTGTATCTGAAATTGACCCATACTTATTACTTATTTCTATTTTTAATTGGCCCATAACTTTTTAAATGGGTATAATTTAGTACTTTTTTGTATTAATTTAAACCTCAAATTTTAAAATTATTTCGATTTGATCCATCATCAATGTGTGTTGTTTAATTTATTTAATTTTTAATTTGTAATTTCATATTTGTTCAATTTAGTCCTTAAAATTATATTTGCATCTGAAATTGACCCATACTTATTACTTATTTATATTTTTTAATTGTCCCATAACTTTTTAAATGAGTATAATTTAGTACTTTTTTGTATTAATTTAAACCTCACAATTTAAAATTATTTCGATTTCATCCCTTTGTGTTGTTTAATTTATTTAAATTTTTATTTATAGTTTCATATTTGTTTAATTTAGTCCTCCAAATTATATTTGCATTTGAAATTGACCCATACTTATTACTTATTTATATTTTTAATTGGCCCATAACTTTTTAAATGGGTATAATTTAGTACTTTTTGTATTAATTTCAACCTCACAATTTAAATTTTTTTGATTTGATCCCTCATCAATGTGTGTTGTTTAATTTATTTAAATTTTAATTTGTAATTTCATATTTTTTTCAATTTAATTATTAAATTTTTATTTTTCATAAAATTGAACCATGATTATTTATATTCTTAGTAATTTACTCTAAATCATATACAATTACAAATTGCAATTCAACGTTCGCGAACGACGAAAATAATTAATCCAAAAATAAAAATTAACTCGATTTGAACTCAATCTGTATCTGATAGAGATCCGACCTGAATTTTATCTGCCAATGATGTGACCCGATCTGAACGAAATCTGCCTGAAGTCCATCCGAACCTGAATTAACCTGCTTTTTAACTGTTCCAGACCTGAACTGGCATCGATCCAAATTGAAAGTAACCCAACCTGAACCAGAACTGTACCTCGTGTCAAATCAACCTGAAAATGACCCGACCTGATTTGACCTAAACCCAACCTGATCTGAGTCGAAGCATCAAATTTACCTGACTTGACCTGTATCCGATTTTACTCGACCTGACAGAATCTGACTAAAACCTAAATGATTACCCGATTTTACATCCCTAATCTCGCCTAAATCCTATCTCCCAAAACCAGATATTATTCGTCGATTGGTTTAGTGAAGTCGTCGATTGCCATCGTCATTGATGGTCTCTAAACCTAAAAACTACCACTCAAACTATCTTTATCTCGTCGTCACAGATTTAGCCTCCGATCATCAGAATCATCGTAGTCAGTCGTAGATCTGTAGGGGAAGCTTCGATTTCTTCAAATCTTCATCAACGTCGATCTCCACGTGAGCCATCCAATGGGACTACTCCACAATATGATGAGCACGCCGTTGAGGGGAGCATTCCAACCGTTGCCAGAAACACTATAAATTGAGATATTCTTTTTTATCGACGTTCCTCTATTATTTTCTCTATTTTTGCTATTGCCTTGGGTTGCTGCTTATGTTGTCGTTTGATTGCAGGTTATGGTAGTTGTTTTCGCCAATCGAAGACGCTTCCATCGTCTCTACTTCATCAATTACTATGCCACTATTGCTCTCTTGCTAGACTCACAAGACAAGAACATGTTGGGTCGCGATGGTCGTTTGGCTAGTGACAGTTGATTTGGGTTGGATTGAAGCAATTCACTGTCTGCCAGGTTCAGTTTAACACCCTGATTTTCATCGGATTATTGTTTCGGTGAACTGGAAATAGATGGGGGATAAGCGATGGTCGATGGGCTATGGTATTGAAGTTTAGGGACTCCAAAGTGATGAACCCCAACAAACTATGGTTTTTTTACCCTAAAACAATCTCTCGTCCTTTTTGGACACCTTATCCCAAACATTGTTGATTCTCGGAACAACCTGCACCTTCCACGAATGTTTTCGACAAATCTGGTAGCAGAACATACAATCCAATTTGAAACAAGTTGGATCTGAAAAAGGTGCATTAATCCAAGCGAGAACGAGAAACACTGTCGGATTCGATAATAAGCTGAGAGGAGGGAAACTAGATAGACTCAGTAAAACAACAAGAAGCTTCCACTATTGCTTGAATTTCAGCTCCCGAAGGACCCAAGAGGCCGACGGATTTCGAGAAACTCAAAAGAACATTACCTTGGTGATCCCTTAATAAGCCTCCAATTCCAGCGACTCCGAAGCTTCCACAGACAGCTCCGTTAACATTGAACTTTAGATAGCCTGGAGGGGGACGTTTCCACAAACTAATTAAAAAAATAAAAATAGAGAAAACTCTTATTATCGTGAGCTAGTTAAATAAAGATTTTAATGATCAAATTGTATCCACTTGGTAAGTCAAGGTTGATTTTTTTTTTCTTTCATAAAGTTCTCCCAACTTGAAAGTATCTTATTTACATCCTCTCAAAACTACACATTTGGAGGGGGAAAATCTTACATTTTACCTTCTTATTACAATGATAAAAAAGATTTTTTTTTCATCTTAGACACATGAATTAAAAAATCACACTTATAATCGGGAGACCATTTTGTAACTTATAATACTCAAAGGACTCAACAAAGCAATATCCTATAGTATATAAATAGTCCTCGAACTTTTAGGACGCTTGCATTTCGCTCACCCAACTTTTGAAACTTACAATACAATCATCAAACTTTTAGTTCGTTTTCAGTAAGGTCCCATTCATTACCTCTTATTAGTTTTAGCTGACTTGGCTCCTAACTTCCGTTTACCCCTCCCCCCCCCCCCCGCGATTAATCCCCTTTCTTCTTCTTCTCTCACACCTCTAATCACCCCAACTCCAGTCAGTGGTGGCTCACACTGTCATCACCATCGTCACTGTCGTCGCCTCCCGACCATACCTCGACCCTCGATTCATTCTCATTGTCCACCGTTCATCTCAAATCGTGAAGAGACCAATCAAACACCCATCCTCGATCTCCATCGTCAGTCGCCAGTGACCGTCACCATCGGTACTAGTAGGAGCATTGCCCCATTCTAACCAAAACCCTACTAGCCACTTTTTGAGATTCACCTCCGTTCACTGTGGAGAGGGCCTTGAATCTCGTCAGAAAATCCCAACGGCCCTTTTCTATTTTCATCGATTTTTAGCCGTCCGTTCACCACACCGCCACCACCGTTGTAGTTCTCACACCATTTCAACCAAAATCCAGTCGGTCATGCCTCATCCGTCTGCAATTGGCTAAGAAGAAGGAGAAGAAAGAGAAGAAGAAGAAGAAGAACTTGAGCTTAACGGGAGTTAAATGCCACGTCAGTTAAAACTAACGGAGGTAACGACAAGCACCTTACTAAAAACGACCTAACATTTTGATGATTGTATTGCAAGTTTCAAAAGTTGGGTGACCAAAATGCAAGTACCCTAAAAGTTCGGGGACTATTTATAGACTTTACCCTTGATTTATTTATTTATTTATTACTGTTATGATTAAAATTTAAAATAAAATATAAATATAACTTAACGTGAATAAAAATAATAATAAACCTTTTTTATATTAAAACAAACAAGATCCGGGGCACTAAGAAGAGGCAGAAAATATATGTTGAGAGATTAAATCAAGGATCCAAAAGCATGATCTTCAATTTGGAATCAAACTAATTTAAAGCCATTAAATACAGATTTGGGGGATTATTAATTTATTGTTTATGTACAACGGCCATTCCAAATCTGCACCTCAGCTATCCTACCTTTATTTGATTCAATCAAAACAATTGCAAATTTTATTGTGATTACCAAAATGAATGAAAAGCTCTGGTGAAGGCTACAAAACCACACACAGCCAGAAAGTCCCTGTAGCTACAGAGCATCATTTCTTACTCTCATTTTACCACCAGATTCTTCCTTGTCATTATTTTCTCCACCCAAACAATGAAGGTACGCCAATTTCATAAACGGTTCCATACCTGCAAAAAGAAAACAGATAGGTAAATACAATAATTCTTTAACCAAAGCCTAAAAAACACACGGCTTGATCCTACAGCTCCACTAAGATATTTGATATTGCAGACAACATTATGAGGATACATGGCATTAAACTAGTGCGCCTAAATTAACGGGATTAGTTTAAATGGTAAGCAGCATGTTATTGCATGAGCAAGTCTTGAATTCGAAGTCTTGTGTATGCAAAAGAATCCTGAGACTCACTCACCAAAGTCAGATGTGTGACACGGGTCGGTCCGGATTACTCTGGGCAAAACCCTGGGGAACCGGAAGAATAACTAAAAAAACTACTTGTGCGCCTACTTAATTACCACCAATCTTTTCTAGCAACAGATGCAAGAAAATCTAGACAGCAGTTAGGTTCAAAATCATATTTATTCACCAAAACCAAATGTGTGACACGGGTCGGTTCGGATTAATCAAGGCAGAACCCTAGGGAATCGGGGGCAAAAAAAAAACCAACTACTTGTGCGCCTACTCAATTACAACCAATCTTTCTAGCAACAGATGCATGAAAATCTAGACAGCAGTTAGATTCAAAACCATATTTATTCACCAAAGCCAGATGTGTGACATGAATTGGTCTGAATTAGTCACGGTAAAACCCTAGGGAACCGAGAGGGCAACAATAAAAAAAAAACTACTTGTGCGCCTACTTAATTACCGCCAATCTTTTCTAGCAACAAATGCATGAAAATCTAGACAGCAGTTATATTCAAAACTATATTTATTCATAAAAGCCAGATGTGTGACACGGGTCGGTCCGGATTAGTCAAGACAAAGTCCTGGGGAACCGGAAGGGCAACCAAAGAAAACTACTTGTGCGCCTACTTAATTACCACCAATCTTTTCTAGCAACAGATGCATGAAAATCTAAACAGCAGTTAGATTCAAAATCATATTTATTCTTCAATAAACTTAAAGATGAGAATTAAAAAAAAATGGGTCATTTTAACTTCACACCACATGAAAGTATTCACATCCAGGATAGACAAACAAGTTTCAGTAGCTTGGAAATGGAAAAAAGAACAGTCCAGTGCTGAGATGGGACCTAAGGTGTAAGCCTCAATATTAAGGGAAAAAATTCTAGCACTCATGCACAAATCGATAGATACAACCAAGTTTTAACCTATATTGGCTTTTCTATGTATAAAAATCGATGCGTATCAGCGTATATCTCTTAGCAAATTGTAAAAGAAACAGCATAGATATTAAGAACTGGCATTGCAAGAGAAGGAACCTTCAATTTTGGAGAAACTCGTGTTGAAGCAACACCATCTTATAAATAACACATCTAGGATGGAAATTTTGCAATAGCCTGCTGATAAATTGATGGTGACGATGTACTTGCATGGTCAACAATGGGAAGGCAAGGATCATAAAGGTCGTCATCCTTTATCTCCTGCTTAATCCCATGGAACCTTGCACCATTCTCTTTTAACTGTTGCCCTGGAAGGAAAGAGTGAGTTGGAACTGTTGATTTTCCACCATTATTCATATCAAAACCAGTCAATGATAGATTTGGAGGTGTTGGGAGATTCAAAGGCAAAATCGGAAAATTTGGAACTACAATTGAGCCAGATGAATGAGTTGCAATGCAGTTTGGGTTCAGTCCAAAAGAGCTATAAGGAATAGCTTTTGGTATGGAAGGAAACTTCATTTGGTAAATGGAAGCCAGAGAAGCTGCCCCAAGCTTCATATCATTGCTGAAATCCCCAAGAAAATTAGGTCTCACATATTCACTTTTAAATTCAGGCTTTTGATCAAAAGGCTGTGCAAAATCTTGGATTGGCGTTTCGGGCTTTATAGCATGGGTACTTCTGGATAATGAAAGGGCAGCTTGAGTGTTGGGGCCAGTAGGGGGCAAATTACAACCACTAGAGTTAGCATGACTGCTATTTCTGGCTGCTGGAACTTCATGATTGTGTTTTCCATCATATGTTGTGAGCACACATTTAAGATTATGGGAAGCTCTTTCCACATGCTTTCTCACTGGACATCCAGGACTTGTGCATTTATAGTAACTCCTATAAGACAGACAACAAAAAATCTCAACAGGTTTTATATATGAAAGCATGAAGCTCGATATTTCTTAGCTGTGCTTTGAAATAAACAACAAGGATATGACTAATAAAGCTATCTTAAAAATGGATGCTAGAAGCATAAACATAAAATTTACGCCTGCATCTTTAGATGATTCTTTCGATTTCACATGCAAAAAAAAATCTGATGTAGAAAGAAAGACAGCTGACAAATTTTGGTACCTAGGATTAGGATTTCCTTTTACAACCTTCTGTCCATATTTCCTCCAACGATAGCCATCATCGAGTATGTCCACATCACTTTCTATTTGCACAACTACTCTTGGTTCACGGGAAGTCCCAGATGCCACATTCATCTCAGTCATGCAGCTCTCTGTTTTCCTGCAATGAAGGTGGATTAAAAAAGTAAATACAAGTTGGTAAAAGTTAAAACAGATTCATTGATCATGCATACCAATACAGAAACTTACCTTCTTTTTGATTCAGACTCATCATCATTAGCTGTATTATCACAGAGTGAAATACTTCCCTGGGCTACCCTATCGTCATTATCATCATCGTGACTAGCAAGTGTTGATGAGAATTCAGGAGTTTCGGCTGATTCAAACACACCAACAGATTTCCCTTGGGCAGTTGATAGCCGATCAGAAAGATCAGTTACAATAGATGTCGATGATGTTCTTTCCGGACCATCAGCTTTCGAATCAGATCCAAGCTTCATATCCTTTGAACCAGCTTGGGAATTTTTCCAAATTAAACCACCTTCAACTTTGACAGAAGTTCCAGTGCCTTCCGCACTCTCTAACATTTCCTCGGATGATAAAGTGGACCCAAGTGATGGCCGACGACAAGGCTGAGGCGTTGAGTGATTATGGGCACCCTTGTAGATGATTTCAGTAATTTGGCCATCAAGTGAGCGTTCAACCTTCTTCTTCACCTGACAATTTGGATGGGTACATTTATAATAGCTTCGCGGATATTCACTTCCTTTTACCTGTTTCTGTCCATACTTCCTCCAATTATAACCATCTTCTGATGTTCTTCCTGTTCCCATAGCAGTGTTTGTAACCTTCTGATCGCCTTCCGGTGTGCGTAAATCTTGTCCATTAAGAGGTTCTTTCTGAAAAGATGTTCGATCACTACCAAACTCAGAATGATGGAATCCCAAATTAGCATTATTGTTTACAATGTTATTCAAAATTCCAACATCAACAACTGAATCTGCTGCAAAACTCCTCGAGATAGCTTCTTTTGAAAAATATGCAGAAAACTTCAAATCCAAAGGTCTATCCATATGGACAACAGGTTGATAATCAACCTCAGCATTTTGAACTAGATTGAAAGAGGAAGAAACCTGCATAAACAAAAATTGATCACTAACTCAAATAGCGTTTTAGATGTAAAACCTAATTAAGCATGATGCTGACAAGGGCGGAGCTAGAATTAAATATTGGCAGGGGCCGAAATATTATAATATTTAAGAAAAATATAAAGACTTATTAGGTATTTAAACTAGAAATTTAGCATGAACCAAGCGACCTTAGTGATTAAGGGACTGTTGTTATCCTTGAGGTCTCGAGTTCAAGCACTTATGTAGGGGTATGAGCGTTCATTGTTAAATAGTTGAAAGTATTTGTACATATATTATCTTGTATTCACACTAAATAAAAAAAAAAACTCTAAAAACTTCTAATTTGTCTAATATTTAAAATCACAATGACTTAAATTGTAATTAGACAAAAAATTTGAGAACACAGACTTATCATTCGTTAGTTCTACCCAGGGTTTCAAAAAACGTTCCGAAAACGCGATTTTGTCTGCGATATAGCGGTTTCGCCGCCGTCCGAGTTACCCACTACACCCGCAATGACGCCCGCGATGGCCACAATCACAGTAAACCCGAAATGACCAAAAACGCGACTGCGACCGCGATTTGAAACCCTGGTTCGACCCCTACTTGATAAAATATTTAATAAATTTTTATATTTTTTAAATTTAAATATTTATTTTTACATGAACCAAAATATTATTAAACCAAAATTATATCGAATATATAAATTTTAACATGGGCCGGGGTCCCCTTGGGCCACAAGGGAGCTCCGTCCCTGGATGCTGGTGACATGAAGTGCATTTTTATATTTAGATAATTACTTAAATTAAACTAGGTTGGGAGGGACGTTCTCGATTAATAAATCGGATACCGGTGCTTATACAAAAAAAAAGGATAATGTTGATTTAAATTTGAAATCCATATAATAGGATTTATTAGATGAGATTCAATCTCAGATGTCCATGTAATTAATCTGAGCCATTAGATGTGGGGGCTTCAACTATACCCCCACCTTTTTTCACGTCAGTTGTCTTTCAAAGTTTTTTTTTTTTTGCTTCTGCATTGTTCTAAGCCTTTTTGTTTGGATTGTTCATACCGACTTAGACAACGCATCACCCGAAAATCGTCTAAGACCACACAAATTCGCTAGTCGAAATTCTAACCCCATAACATAATCCAGAAACTTATCTAAATCTACAAAGCTTGTCACAATTAAATTCTATTGCCTGCCAAGATGAGATCACCCCTTTAGGATTGTTCATGATGATATGATAATTGATAAGATATATCAACCATCAAAGAATGTGTGAGGCTAGATATCAATTGATCTGCATAACAACAGCATTTTCCCAGTATTATCTAACAAGAACAAATTTTACTACCTAAAAAAAATAAAAAAGATGTAAAAAAATTAATCACAACAAAACATCTTATTATAATACATATCAACAAACTTTTCAAAAAAAGAAATGCATAACACAAAGCAAATTGAATTCTGATCATTAGGTTATAAAAGAGGTCAATCAATTTACAACCACAGTAAACAAAGATGTGAACCTAAACCATTTACTTGAGTAAAACAAGAAAGAGAATAAATAAGAATTTAGAATCCACTTCAACCAAACTTCTTAACGGAAAGTTACCATCACAATTAGCACTTTGCATTCCTATTTTATTTTATTTTTTGATACACATTCCAATTAGGTATTGTATATGAAGAAGTTAAGCCCTGCCTATCTCTCAAAACTGTAAGTTATGTACCATCTCTAGATAAAGTTTGGGATTATCTTGTAAATATTAGTATTCTAGTTTATCTCTAACTCTAGCTGATTTTGTAGATAAGGATAAAGTTCACTTAGCTAGGACTGTTAATTTAATTAGGACTCTAGCACATTTCTTGTATAAAACTTTAATTAGGTATTGTATATGAAGAAGTTAAGGCCTGCCTATCTCTCAAAACTTTAAGTTATGTACCGTCTCTAGATAAAGTTTGGGATTATCTTGTAAATATTAGTATTCTAGTTTATCTCTAACTCTAGCTGATTTTGTAGATAAGGATAAAGTTCACTTAGCTAGGACTGTTAATTTAATTAGGACTCTAGCACATTTCTTGTATAAAACTCTGTACTGTTTCTATTATGAATTGACACGGTGAATAAAACTTTTCTTTTCACTAGTAAACACACTTCCTACAAAAACTGATGTGGTTTAGACAGAAAAACAATAGCAATCAAAAGAAACAAGGCTGAAAATGAGTAAGAAAGATGGAACTTTAGAAAAATGTAGCTATAAAAATCTGTAATTTCTCAATTAATTCAAAGGAATAATAAGAATAGTTGTGGCTGTAAATATTTCACTTATAAAAACTCTCTTGCAAGTAAAGTTCTATTCTAGCTCTTAATTTAAACCCTTAAAATAACTAATAATCCTAGCCGTCCATAATATTTCTAATGCTTAATAAGGAAAACTTGATTCTGGTGAGAAAACTTTACCAGTTCAGAATAATTTTCTAGATCCATTCTTTGCAGCCTCTTCTTCATGTAATTGCCCTGATTCATATCAATGTTTGAGAAGCTTCTCTATGGGTACAAAATTAAAGCATGGTTCTGATTTTCAGGTTTTCCTTATCCTAACTTTGCATTCCCGATCAACTTTATTCCACAGGTTTCCTGATCAAGATTATCAGTACCTTTAACCAGTACGTAATGGTAGGTTTTCTAAGCTCTTCCAAATGCTTGGTGCATATTAAGGATATTTTGAGGTGTCTTTTCTCCTAGTTTGACAAGACTATAAGCATCTTCTATGCTCAACACTTGGTTACTAGCCCTCAAAATTTCAGTGCAAACAGCCTTGGAGTTATCAGAATCAAAGTGATTGCCTTGTCCTTCTTCAGAAGGTTTTGAAAACAGATGCTCTATGTAACTAGCCATAGCTTCCCAAGGTGACTAAACAAACTTCGATGCTATGGTGACATAATTTCTGAATTTGAGCATTTCCTTCATTTGGTCCAAATTAGTTGAACTTGTGTCATTCAAAAGCTTAGAGAACAAGTTCACCTTCTAGTGATGGATTTTAGTTTTTCTAGTTTGTAGATTCTCTGACACCTCCATCTGATAAGCATGGTAAATAGAAAGTTCACCAGTGAAAATAAAAGAAAAATATAACTGCATATCAAATCTGCAGTCAGATTAATTCCCCCGTCCAAAAGATTAATTTCTCTTTCACGAATCCAAGAAGAAAAAATAGTTGTTCTTTTTCCTGTGTTGTGAGGAAATGGAGACTTGCAGATATTGTGCAAGAATTGTTGAGAAAGTATTAGATATATTATGGATGTCGGGGGATATTAGTTATGTTTAGTGTTTAAATCTAGGGCTAGAATAAAATTTTATTTGCAAGAGAGCGTAATGACTATACTTGCAAAACTGTGAAATGTTTACGGCCATAACTATTGTTATTATTTTCTTTGAATTAATAGGGAAAATAGAGGTTTCTATGAACTTACGTTTCTAAAGTTGCATACCATTTCTTACTCGGTTGTTCCACCCCAATTCTATTGATTCACTGCTGTTTTCACCCCTTAAGCCACATCAAAAACTCAAATGAATAGAATCTAACAACAAGGAAGGCACTAATCTCATGGAAAGCTTTAGAAATCTACCCAAAAGCAAATGCCACCAGTTTGATGAACATTAAAAAGAGGCTGTTGCAATATCCTTCTTGATCTGTAAAAAGAGTTTGATGAACAAAATTGAAAAACATCAAAGATAACAATAAAAAGGAAATGGAGAAAAGTAATGCACAATGAAGAATACTATATAGACAATAGGGAAAGTAAAGTTGAAATGAATTTGAGTTAAAACCGAAGGTAAGACATAGAATATCATAATTCATAAACATAAAAGCAAAGTTTTGTTAAATCATTGCTACTGCAATTTGAATGTATGCATATGTGAAGGATTAGAAACATGTCAAGTTTAATAATCTGGCAGTTATAGGCAGAAATTTTAACTTTATGACAAAGTAGAACTGGGGTAGAAGGAAATCACCTGATCTTCTATACTGGAAAAACTTGGTTGAGAATCCATATTTCGCGTCTTTAATGTGAAAGAAGAAACTATACTATCGTCTCTATCACACTTGATATGATTCACCACTTGACCATCATGATTGTGAAATGTTCCAGTGGTGGGAGATGTCTATACCAGAAACAGAAGTCATTAGAGAACATACTACAACAGAGCTGGGGAAGAGCAATAATTTTAATATATTAATTAAACCCCTTTTCAGTTTTTATATGAAAAATTTCTTTAAACAGGGTAGATAACAAATTCAAATAACAATATTAACTACAGCATTTTTTTTAAGTACCAGTTATGGAGCACAAGTCGAGCTTAATACAATCTTGTTCATAAAGAACACAATACTTATTAAAGCTTTCTAAGATGCTTTACTTAATATAACTGAGCTTCAGATTTTCCAAAAGAGAGAAAAAAAAACTAGTTCTAAATGAACTAGAAAGAGATTTTTTTTTCAGAGTTCAGATCTAATATTATGAATCAACTAAAATTATAGCTACACCAGTTATTAAGAACCCTTTGTTAGCATTCAATTGAGGGACTTTTAATAGTTTATTTCATATAGGCCATTAGCATTTTTTATCCTTGTTTCTAGTTTCGTTCTGCAGCTAATTTATCCCCAGGCAACCAAAATATTTCTGTTTTGAGGTAGCCAAATGGCAGAGGCAATTGAAATCAAATATATATATGCCGATACAAACCTTGAATTTAACATTACATTGCATGATAAAGAATAAATGCCCCCAAACACCATGAATTTAACATTACATTGCATGATATCAATTTTTTGTACAATTTAGAAGCCAACACCACTCATATTTAATATGATCAAACTCGAGATTTCATATGTAGAGCCTTAAATATGGCATTGCCACTAACAAAAGAAGCATTAAAGATGATGTTCTGGCATTCATAATAAGATACTATATATTAACAGTGACAGTCATAATCATGGGAAAAACTCATTAATCGAACATAAGCAGTGGGTACCTGAGCATTTGGCAACATTATAGGAGAATCCAACAAAGCAGTAGGGCTGATCCCAGGAGAAATAGTAAGGTAAGGCGAGCAGGGAGATGGGGAATCCAGTGCGATCAACCTGACCGCAGTTATCGTCTCGGCCTTGAAACCGCACGTCGCCGCCCTCCTCTCCGCTATGCTGGCGCCGCGTCCTCCGCCGTTTGCAGGGGTTTTGGTATCATCTTCGTCAGCGGTAATGGGTTCATGGCGGTTAGTGAAATGGGTTACATTGTTGTCCATGAAATGGGGGATAGAGAGAGAGAGAGAGAGAGAGAGGGTTAAAGTGAGGGAGCAGTGAATTGTCAATTCGGCATTTGGCTTCAGCTCCAGTGATCGGGTGAGGATGGAGCTGAAAATTTTCAAGTTTGGATTTGGAAACAGAGAAAGCGAGAGAGAGAAATTGAGAATGAAGATAGATAGAGTTTTTAAAGTTTCTGGGTCCGGTTTGTTTGTTAGAGATTGTTGTGTTGTTTTGTCTACTTGTCTTGTCCTGCCATTTACAGAATTATCTCTTTTATTATCATTTATTTAACCATAAAAATATTACTCCTAATATTTTAACAACTTTTAGATCATCAAGTGTGCCAGTTTTATTTTGGCATAATAATAAAATTAGTCCCTAATGTTTATATAAAAAATTATTTTATCTATTTCTTCTTTTTAGTATTTTAGGTTTTAATATTTTATAAAAATAGTTATTGTTTGATTGAAACCGTTAGTTTATTAATGGTTAACACATATTGGTGAGGTGACATTTCACATGTGTTTAATTGGTGAAGTGGCATATACCATGTTATTATTTTGATGATATGACATATGTTATATTACTCCCTCTATCAAATTAATTATATCTCATGTTGACAAAATACATAGTTTTAGGAGATAAATTTGATCACATAAATAAGAAAAATGATAAAATTATCACACAAAAAGTGATTGACATATTTGATAAATTTGTTTTGATAGGTATAAAAAAGGAACACTAAAAAGGAAAATATTAATGTTGTTATATGTTGACTTTTCTAATAGTACATTTTAAATATGACAAGTTTAAAACTCAAAATAAAAAAATTTAATGAGACAAATTGAGTATTACTTTGGATGATTTAGTACATGTCACATTATTGTTTTAAGTGACATGACAATGATCATATCCTCAATTAAAAATAAAAAAATGTTACGTCAACAACATGAGTTAAACGTTAATCAACTAAAGTTTTCCATCTATCATGAGCTATTTCAACCAAAAATTGGAACGTTATAACAAAATACTTCGAAAAAAATAAAGAGGAAAATGATAATTTATGGAAACGTTGAAGACTAATTTTATCATTATACCTTTTATCTTCCAAGTTTCTAAGAAAAATAAAAAAAAATTATGATTTTATATAATTTTGTTACTTTCGTTTTAAATTTTTTAACTAAACAAAAACAATCCCAACAAATGAAGTTAAGTTCATTTGTTGGGATTGTTTAATATTAATCTTTCATCGCCGAATATAATTTCATCTTAAATCTCAGAGCTTTCATCTGCACCATTAAATTTAACGACATCATTTTTTTATTTACATTTTCTTTTGGTCGAGTGAGTATTTATTTACACGTTGTCAATTAAGAAAACAATGGTTTTTTATATTATAATAAAATTTATTAACAACATAATAAAGTAAATAAATATATAAAATCAGCCACACAACCTTACCGATAATATTTTTTATTATATATCTAAAACACATCTAATTTATGGAAACAGATAAAAGAGAGATACTCGTAATTTATATTAAAACAAATAAATAGTTTTACTGATAATTGTTTATTTTACTTTTTAACCATGTCACCGGAATTTAATCTCCATCCATAAAAAAATATTACATTGCATAATCAATCAATTATATTTAAAGAAAACATTATGGACAAAAGGATTAGTAACTACTATTTTTATAGTAATTTTTTTATTTACATCCGTCAAATTTTATTTTTTTGAATAAATTTAATATTATGATCATAGGGTAATATCCAGTTATAGAAATTTAAATATCAATATAAATCTTTTTTTAATTTCATTAATTAGTAATATAAGATTACAATGCCCTTTAAAAAAACATTAGAAATAGCTTAAGAATTGAAGGCAATATTTGTGTAAGAATTTTTATCTAGTTCAAACCAGAAATTTGGTTTAGGGCAGGTCAAAGTATTTATACCATTAGTAATCTTTTGGGTAAACTACGCATTTAGTATCCTAATCGTCACTTTTGTTCGATTTTAATCACTTAATTTTTTTCCAAAATTATACCTATTGTTATGTTTTGATTTTATTTTGGTTACCTATCATTAAAAAATTAACGAAACTACTGCTATGACTTTTTTAATTTTTTTTAAAGATGATATGATATTACGTTATGATAAAACATAACTATTTATTAGCTAATAATAATGATATGTTAGGATTGGTGTAACTAGTTAGGTGAGCTGGCATAACAGCTTGGTAGGTTAGTGTAGCCATTTTGGAATCTACTAGTAGGGTTTCTCTAAGCTTATATACGTGATTTTATGAATGCAAGAAAGTAGAGCTTTTGTGATAATTAGAGCTCAATATGGTATCAATCGCCTTAGGATCTGGGGGTTCACCTTCCATAACTGTGCATCTTCTTTTTGTTCTTATCTTCTTTGGTGTTAGTATGGGTGACATGGAGGCTTCATCGGTGTTATTGCAGAAGGTCTTCACCAACTAGAGGCTGAGCGTCGTTTTGGATTAACATAACTTCTTGTTATGGAAGCAGCAGATGGTTCTGGCGGTAAGGAGTCATCGTCTTGAGAAACTTCTGACTGGTGATATCACTCCTCCTCCCTCGACGGTGGTTCGAGAGAATGAAACAATTGTTGAGAATGAAGAGTACGAGTTGTTTATGGCCTAGGACAGTGCGCTCGCTTCATGGCTTCTATCCACGATGAGTCCGTCCATCATTCCTCATATGGTCGG